GCCGGGGACGTTCCTGTTGGGGTGCCGAGGACGTTCCTGTTGGGGTGCCGGGGACGTTCCTGTTGGGGTGCCGGGGATGTTCCTGTTGTGGTGCCACTGGCAAGAGGAAGGGTCGGGGAGCCGGGGTCGTGTGAACGCGGGAGGCGGCTGAGACAGCTCCTTGTAACAAGCCTTCCCTTCTTACGTCTCAGGTGTTGATTTTAGAGTGAAGAAGATGGTGGTGGACGGCCATGCAGTACAGCTTGCCATATGGGTAGGTCTTCTTCCAGACGGATAGGGATAGGTTTGTTCTCGACAGACGTGCAAAGCTGCTTTCTGTGTTTTTCTTTCCCCCCTGCCCCCTTTCTTCCTCCTCCTTCCTTGCTCAAGTCTTCTGCATGTCGAGATTCTATATTTATGATGCAATGCATGAAAAATGTCTCTCATGATCTTACAGCAGCAGTTGCAGACAATGTCCTTTCAAAACTTTTCTAAAAGTTTCATTGGTCAAGGTTTGGGACTTCTTTCAACTCTAGTAGAGACTTTGGCTGCTCTTTCCTGCAGTTACAGAACTGGGTCTCTCAAAGGCTCTGTGAAGTGTTAAACTGCTGAAGATGGGAGGGTTCTATGCCTGGATGACCCAGAAGCACACCTAGGATGCAAGTTGAGTAAACTGCAGAAAAGTGATGTTCTGGGGGATGAGTTGGGTGATTTCCTGTAGGGGTTGTGCAGCTGTTCTGTGTATACTACACCAGAAACGGTCCAGAGGCTTTATTTTGGTTAAAATCATGCAAAAAAGTATACTTGGTCTTGAACTATTTAAAGGTTGGTTCAGATTTACTGCAAGACTTGAGCATTTGTCCTTTACTTCCTGATGCTGTATTTCCAGCATCTGCAAACTGTGAAATCAAACTGCAGCTGTGGGGTCCAGATTATTTATAATATAAAGCACCACATTTATTCTTCTAAGTGGAATGAAAGAGCTCCGGAAAGGAGAGATTTTATGTGTCTGGCCACAGGTATTTGAGAAAGAAAACCCCATTATTAATTAAGAAATTGAGACTGTTGGAAGCAGAGCACAAACGTGCTTTGGGCTGAGAGGGGGACAATGACACACCAGTCCGGTTGTACAGTGTTAAATAAAAACTTTAATGCATAAACAGTGTGCTGAAGGCAAAAAGAGGCTTCTGCTTTAGTGTCCATGTGTGTGTAGAAGCCTAAGATTATGATCTCTTTAGCAGCAATAATTTGAATGAAGTAAATATATTGCCAACTTTAGGGGTTTTTTTTAAACAAAAAATAAATAAATAAATTCCAATATAGGTGTTAGTCTATCAATTGTAAACTGTACCTAAAAGTAAATAAAGGTTTTTTTTAAAAAAATCATATTTGTGTGATTTTTTCCCCCTCCTTATTGTTTGTTCTGAGGGTTTTTTTGAGTTTCATATTGCACTTAGTAGCTCACTTATTCGAGAGAGTAAGTGTGACATAGTGCAGTAACGATTAAGTGAAACTACTGATTTTAAATTTCTTATCTGCTTAGACTCATAGCAGTCTTGAAGTAGTTCTTTCTAGCTGGATTCTTCTTCCCTGTGGTGTGGAGGAGCAAAGGGAGATGTTTGGAATTACTGTGTCTCCTTTCCTGCAGTGTTTCTCACTGGAAAACCTGTTACTCCTCCCCTCATTCAGTTCAGCTGGTTTTTAACTGATCAAGCCCAACTGCATGGCTGCTTGCCTTTTATGAATTTCTCTAGAGTCCTTTTGGTTTTCTTACTGTCTCACTCCTGTTTCAGGTGTCTGCTTCTTGCTTTAACCTTCAGTCAGATCCTCTCCACGCTTTTCTACCCCTCCTTAACCATTTTCTGTTGCTGCTGGTGGTGTTTCCTGACAGCTTTGCTCATTCTCATGTCTTAATGGTTTCGTGTATCCTTAGTGGTCAGGAAAATTTTAAATTTGCTCATCTTGTGTAGTTTAAAATGCGCTTTTTTTTTTTTGTTTGTTTTAAATGTATTTGATTTTGTATTTGGTTTCTTTTCCCCCCCATCCCCACTGTAGGACACGGCAGGACAGGAGCGCTTTCGGACACTGACTCCCAGTTATTACCGAGGAGCTCAAGGGGTTGTTTTAGGTACGAAGCACATGGAACAAAAAAAACATGATTACAAAAGTTGTGGTCTTTGTTTACTCCTAAATGTGCATGATCTTACAAAAGGAGGTTATCTGAGAGAATCAGAGGAATGCTTATATGTTTTTTACAACATTTTTACTGCTCAGACACTGAGTATGCAAAACCACTGGCAGGAAGCAGCGCTGCTTAAAAATATTTTAAATTAAAAAAAACCAGAGATGTCACACTGTAAGGTGTTGAGTGGATGAATTATTAGCTTTGTAGTTATTACTTCAGTGGTTTTCTGGTAATAAGACAAATTGGGGGTTGTGTTGTGTTCTCTTCCCCATGAGGTTTTTACTTTTTTTCTTCCCCCAGAAACTATTAATGTGATTATGCTGACTTGAGGTTTGTACACAGGTAATGGATGGCCAGGCCCTTTCTGTGTGACAACAGCAATTAGAAAACGAAAGGACTCTCAATTTCAGGGTTTGTGAAAGCTGAACACCTTGCTGTACAAAATATTCTGACTGTGATTCAGCTTTTTAAACCTCAGTCGTTTACATGAATGCAGTTAAGAAGTTACCAGTGCCCAGAAGTTGCTTTTTACTCAGTCCATGTTTTTAGCAGGAGCACATGCATGTAGTTACACATGAAATGAGGTGGCAAAACACCTATTTTAAAATATTCTGTGTGGCCCAGTGCAGAACTACCAACAGGCAGAAGATTTCATTGGCAAGTCTGATTTTCACTCACTGAGGTGCTTGTGTTCTGTAACCCAGAGTGACTTGGGGTGAGCACAGCAGGGGTGTTCCAGCTCTGGGAAGAGGATATGGTTTATGTCTCTTTCTGTAATTCCCTAATACTGGGTTTTTTTTCAGGGCAGTAGTTAGGTAGTGTGGACTAAGTTCTAAGTGAACATTGTTCAAGACTTTACGGCTGTTAAGCATCTTTTCCTCTGTTACCAGTGTACGATGTTACAAGAAAAGACACTTTCACAGGACTAGAAAGTTGGCTGAAGGAGCTGGAAATCTATACCTCCAAAAGCAACACTGTGAAGATGTTGGTTGGCAATAAAACTGATAAGGTCAGTTTAGGAATGCATCCTTTTACATTATTCCCCAGATTGCTTACTCCTGATAGAGTATAAATGGGAGATAAAATGCAGTAGGTGACACATCTGTTGTGTGAGGAGGTGATATGCTCTGTAACTGAGATGGGCAGGCTCCACTTATGACCTCATTATAAAAGCAGGTATTGTTAAAGATTTTAATGTGGCTGTGAGGTGCACTGGTTGCTCTTTGTTTCTGGGGTGTTTTGACATACTTAGATGCCCGTTGTACAGTGAGATGCTTCACTCTTGCTTTACAAGAGGTTTTCAGTATGGCTATCCTGAATTAGGTTCTCTTCTGCCCCCTTCCAAATCTGCCCAGATTTCAGTTTCAGAACCTTTTCATATACCTTTTTGGCTACTTGCCTACTGAAATCTCCTTTCTGGAGATGTATCTTGCTCCTGGTTGATTCAGAACACAGCAACACGGTCATTTCCTACTGATGTGGCACCAGGTGTGATTCCTGGAGCTGTCCTGTGCAGGGCCAGGAGCTGGACATGGATGATCCCTTCCAACTCAAAGAGATCCTGATTTGATGTTGCTACTGTTCAATTTGACCCTGTAAGAGCTGGCCTAGCAGTAAGCTGCCTGTAGAGTGGGAAAATCTACTTGATTACTACACATTGCAGACATTTCTTTTTCTTTTCAACACAACCTCGCTTCTGCAGTGGTGCTTTTCCAGGTACTTCCTAAAAGGGGCAAGTGTAGCTTATTTTAGCCATGTTCTTCATTTGTCTCTGCAGCCTGATCGTGAAGTAGAGAGGAAAGAAGGACTCCAGTTTGCTAAGAAACGCTCCTTGCTTTTTATAGGTATGCACCTCTGTGACAAAACCTTCTCTATTTCTGTGTTTATTTTGGGATTGCTAAGCATGAACAAAGTGTACAATTGTGTTTCAGGCTGATGGGTTGATCTGCCTTTTTTTTAGCACCTGTTTATGGGGGTTCCTTTTGCTGCATTAGTTCATATGGATGGATGTAGGCTCCAACTTTTTGGATGCTCTGCCTTGACTGCAACTAGAAGCACTTTTCTCTGGAACAATTTACTGCATATACTATATAGGCATGAATTTTATATTCTCTGGAAGCTAGGAGAATGCATTTCTGTTTACCCTATTCAGCTTAAGTGTACCTTTAATAGATAATGGAGAGGAAATTGGCTCATTAAAAAAAAAAAAATCACATCAACTCGCTGGTCCCAAAATAACTTTTTTGCAAAGTGGAAATATACTCCCTGCAAATAAGGTAAAATATTTTTTCCCCCCTCCACCAGAGACCAGTGCCAAGACACAGGATGGAGTGCAACATGCCTTTGAGGAACTAGTCAGAAAGATCCTGCAGACCCCAAGTCTTTGGGATAAAAGCACAGAGAAACGGGGAGTCCAGCTAATGGAATCTTCAGCACAGCAGCAGAAAAGTTTATGTGGTACATACTGTCCACTTTCTTAAATCTACAGGTGGCTGTTCTGCCTGAATGGAGGGGACCTGAAAAAAAAAAAAAGGGGGGGTGTGGGTGGGTTCCAAGCACTAATCTGTGCCATGTTTGACCTGCCACCAGCTGTGCAGCTCCAAAACACAAACTGGGTAGCAAAATACATTTGTGTTCATTAACAAAATCCAATTTCTCCTTCCCTGATGCACAACTGCTATCTGCAGATATTTTTCTGGTAACTCTGAGATTTTTTCAGTATTCAGTGATAGTGCTGCTTAGAGTGTTGTGCTCTTGCTCTATGGCAGTCAACGTGGACTTTTTCTGGAATTCCTGCCTTAGCAGAAATAAGGTAGTATTCCAGTTTGGAATGTTGAAAAACTTCTCTTCCCTGGCCTGGCATGGGAGTTTTAGGCACCCATTTTAGGCACCCAAGTTCCCTTAAATGTAGTGAACAGTCAGGAGTTACCCTGAGCAGTGGTCATAGTTTGCTGATCTTAAAAAGTCAGAATTGCTACCTGTCCCCAGACAGTGAGCTGACTTATTACTTAATTTTAGGGTTGTCATGAAAATGTGTATCTATTAACATTTGGCAGGAAAATCCCCCACTTCCTGTGCAGTGCACTGTTCATGCAGTACCTAATAGGTTACCCTCTGCTG